AAAAAAAAAAAAAAAAAAAAAAAAAAAAAAAAAAAAAAGAAAAAAGAAACAAACAAAAAAAGATACATTTCAATAACGGTAAAAAATATTATTGACTTTATAAAAATTAAATTCGTGTCTATAATATTCTAATACCTTCCACTATAAGGTATTTTTTATAAAATAATGCGGTAACGAAATAATAAGTAATGCATATGTGCTAATTAAAATAAAAAGTACACATCGATGGAAGTCTGAAAAAAGGAATTTTTCGGCGTAGTTTAGAAGCGAAATGAATATTAACGAATGGGCGGGGATTTCGTCCAAGTAATATAATCAAGATGTACTGAAGAAAAATTAATACAAACCTGTTAATTTACTCGTACAATTTTTTAATTTTTAACACGCGCGGCTCAAAAGAAATATAATATGTGTATAAAATATTTCTAATAATTATAAATAAATATAGACAGTATATGAATAATGATAAATTATTAATTAATCAATATTTCAATACACGTTGCGTCACTTATTTTAATTTGATCTAATTTCGTTTGATCTAATTTTATTTGATCTAATTCCATTGGTTTTTAATAAATATGTATTTCTATTTATTCATTTGGACTCGTCGACGTGCAAAATTAATTAATATTTTAATAAATAAGACACTCGCTTCTATTTATTTAAGTTTTCATAATTTAATTTAGCTAACCAATTATGTTTGAAATTGTACATTAGAATTTATTAAAATAAACGAAATATTCATGAAAATGTCACTAATTATCATTATTTAATATGCATTGCTTTTAAATATAAATAAGATAAGGGATCGCTATAAGCGCAAGGCATTTACATCATTAATTAATTCCAGATAAAAATCTATATCAATTGCATGTATTATTAATTGCAATTGTAAGCATCACTGGGAGAAGAATCGAACATAATTTTGTTAATTTACATTTTCCTCGTCCTTAATGAGCAATATATTTTTTAATAATATTTAACAATAAATTGGAATCAGAACGGGAAAACAAAAACATTTATAAAATATTATACTCCTGTAACTGAAATATCAAAGGAACGAAGTAAAATTATTGGTTCCGTTAAAATTGTAAAAAAAAAGAAGAAAAAAAAAATTGCCAGTCGCGCGATTATATAACCGATCATGCAAACAGCTCAAACTAATTGAACGAAATTTCTCTTTCGCATGAAAAAGCCAATTTACAGTGACACTTTCGATTTCTCGCCTCTCGTGAATTTATCAACACACGCGTATGCCAGACCGTAGCGCAAAGCCAATGTTAGGTATCTTCCCTCAACGCGGTCGCACCACTTCCCTATTGGTCCGCGCGGGCCTAATAATCAAATGCGATAACACAAACAAACACACAAAGGAAAGAGAAATGCAAACATAGTGGTAAGTGAGGAGGGTCGGGTCTCCAAGTTAAGCCCAGCCACGTGACAAGAAACAACTCGCTAGTCTCTATTCGTCGATCGACCGCTAATGAAAAATGAAGCTGCTTACCGGCAAAGAAGACCCGGGGCTGGGGTGTCGGGGTGCTCGCCGGCTGATTTGCTGGGGTCGCTGGTGCGACGGGCGCTGCGAGGAGATCATAATCACTCCCGGAGCTGCCCACCGCGACGAAGCTGTAGGATCCACGTGCCCAGGGATCTGCCCGCCACCTCGTCACAACGCTCTCACGAGGCTGCGGCACTACCTGGTTGCCGAAGATACCCTACAACAGAGGAGGAGGTCGAGGAGTTTCGGCCGCTCTCGTCCTATATGTGTGACGAAGGGTGGCCGACTGGGTCGATGGACTCAGAGTTATTAGGCTTTCATGGCTTTTGAGAGTCTTATTTGTTTTTACCAGAACAAGCGTTTCATTCCTCCTCTATGCATCTCGCTCTCACACATTTTGTCGAGTTTTTATTATTTCTTTTATCCGGGACCCGCTGTCATCTTGTTCGCCCAAGAGCACTCGGCTTTATGACGATTTTTCCGTCATTCCGCGCGACACGAATTCCTTCGATGATGGCGAAAATTTGAAAACGTCTAAATTTCTGAATTGAAAATTTACATGAAAATTTATATACCGCCACTTTGTTTCTCCATCTCCTATGTTATCTCGCGGGTCAAAGCTCATTTCAGTTGCAAAGACATTAAGCATTTTTGCTGTAAAACATAAACATAGAAATATAGAACAAAGCATAGCCGTGATCGCTTACTGCGCGCGCGCCTAATAATTTACTCGAATAATTGTCAATTGCGCAAATTATCTATCGGATTTGTTGTATAATATTGGGAGAGAGAAAGATAAGGAGTTAATAAGCAAAATATTCTTTATTCTTGAAATGATATTCAGCCTTTATGATATACTTTCGCTATATAATTCCGATTCATGCATCCGTTAAAAAAAAATATATTCTCAAAACATCTTCGATGGGTTAATGTTCCAATATACTTTTTTGCTATTTTCAAAAGAATTTACGATTCTAAAATCAAGAGACACATCTATACACAGGCTTTAACTTTACATATTATACGTTCGATGAAAAATTCATTACAATTGATACGATCCATTTACATCTCGAAATTATAATAAATAACCACTACGTATCATTGAATAATAATAAATTTGGCTTTTGCCAATTATAGATGTGTAAAAGTATGTGTGTCCAAAGCCGTGTCAAAGGTTTTTTTTTCTTTATCTTTTTTTTTTTTTTTAAATTAAAGTATTCCAATAATATTCGAGCCTTAACGTCATTCGCCCAACGTCTCGTTTCTTTGATAAAAATAAAGGAAGCGAAATGAATTTAAATACCATATTATTTCTTCTATTCGTCATTGCAATCGTGTTTTTCGACTTTATCTCATTCAAAAGTCGACATTCTCTTTATCGTTGATTACATCGCTGCGTATGATTAAGCAAATATTTATAATAAATAAAATGAGTACATAAGTTTGTAATAAATCTATGTAAAATGTCTGCGTGACTTTTTACACGTATGCACACTTAAAATATTCAAGCAAATCTTTTTATCAGTGAACACACACCGACCTGCGCGGGCCCGCGAGACTTGACTCGCTAACCCACTTGAAAATCTCATAACAAGTCTCTCTGCCATTCTCTCTCTCTCTCTCTCTCTCTCTCTCTCTCTCTTCTCTTATTCTCCTCTTTACGGTCCAGAATGATGAAAAATGCCCGTGCAATTAATTTCGTCGTATGTATCCCTCCGGCAAGGATAAGCAGCAAATTTTGTTAGCAGAAAGAAACGATAAGGCTCTGCGTTGCGGAGGGGCAAAAGGAAGTCATGCGAGATAAATACCAACGTTGTATAAGTGTGTGTAGTGGCGCGTGAAAGTTCTGCACTTTTTACCTGACGTCTTTTAAACTAAGGATCATATTTATAAATCTTTCATGCCGGGAAAATGAATGACTTGACTGCGGTTATGTGTCGTTACTTGAATTTTTTTAATTTACAGCATATAGATACTTTAATTATATAATTGTAAACAACGATATTCATTTAAGCTCGCTTAATATTTAAAACCATAATAATCATTTGACATTATTTCTTACGAATTTGAACACATTTTTGTTGGCTGAGCCTGAATCCGATAAAATATTCTTATTTCTGCGGATTTTATTTCAGTTTTCACAATTTTTTCACTTTACACGCTATAAATCATCGCTCGGATTATTATAATGCCTGGTCAGTTTAATTGATTCGTTAATATAATAAAGACGATCTCCGTAATTATATTACTAATCTATAAATAATATATAGAAATTCGAATTGCAATTTTTCTGATAATTTCCAAACACAAATTTTAATTATTTTCTATTACAGAACTATAACAGCTTAAGTAAGTAGGAAAAGTTGTTTTGATAACCCGTGCCTAAACAATTTTGTTGAATCGGTTGAATCGATAAGTAAATATATATATATATATGTGTGTGTGTGTGTGCGTGTGTGTGCGTGCGTGCGTGCGCGTGTGTGTGTATAAGAGTATGAACAAATGAGTTATCTGTTGTGATAATATTGTCACATATACTCGTTTTATGCTCAACGAGTATTATATTGCATTTTTTAATGAATAGCCCCGAATATAAATTTTCATATGATCATCTCAAATGCATCGAGATACACGAAAACACACAGGCACACGCGCACGTACAGATTATTTTACAATTCAGGGAGCTTTTGTTTTCAATTATTTATCTATAAATTGAATGGAAATTTAATTAAAAATTCTTATAAATGGACGAAAATATCCTCTACCAGCAAGGAAATGTAATAATTTCAGTAGGATGCCGAGCGCTGAGAATAAATTTTCAAGTATCAATTACAGTGGAATAAAATCAAACGATAGTTGCTTTTCAAATCGGAATGCAGCCTCTCGCGAAATTTTACGATGCCAAGTTTCATTTAACGGTAAATTTCGATGACGCGCTTACGTTTGTTTGTTTCGCAACGTCGTTTACACGAGACGCCAACTTAATGGAAAATGATAATTCAGGTACGCGGGAATAAAAGAAGCGAGGAAATAAGAGCGCAGCGATCGCTTCGTCCTCCAGATTGCGACGAGGGCTGGGCGGCGTGGAGCGGAGCGGGATGAGGTTGAGGATGGGTGGACGGGAGGACGGGAAGACGGGAGTAAGGGAGTAAGGGAGGAAGGGGTGGGGATAGGGGGGTATCTATGTGCACGTATGCTTGGGACATTGTCTGGACATTGTCCCTCTTACCTTAAGTACGGCGATGCAGCGGCCGACGATAACATCGTCGCTGACGTTTTCCATGACACAGGCCGCCTCGCCGGCGACGAGGGCCAGAAGCACCGGCGCTTTGTACAGATTCCAGAAGAGGAAGAGCTCCCCGCGGGAGGCCGTCGTGCTACCGACGTGACCGAAGAGGTTGGCCGTCGGATCCCAAAAGATCCTCTCGAAGCAGAGCACAACCTGACCAAAGGCAACGCACGTATACACATTATGTTACTATATTAAAATGTAATGATTATATGGTAGTCGGAAGCTGAGGCAATTGGCAAAAATTATACGTGGTCACGTACATCATCTATATATCACGTATATCATTAAACATGGTGGCCTTTTATTTTCGGGTGCATATAAATTTCGACGTTCTTACTTTGAGCGAGGAAGGTTGTACTGCAACACGTTGAGGCTTGCGATGACTTACTTTATTCCCTCATCATACAAATATCAAAGCAGCTCGTTAAATATCGAGTTTTCTAACCTTTATCGCAATGACAAAACCATACAGGTAGATCAAAGTATTAGGAATTAGCGTAAGGAAATTTTAAATTCTATAATTACGACTTGCGAATTCATATACTTTCATATTTTTATCTCGTTAGCTTCGTGATATCCATTAAAATAATTAATCATCGTTATATTAATAAATATTAATATGTAAACTGTGCGTTGCATTTTCTACAACTGTTTTTACATTAATTAAAAATTCTTTCATGCGTGTATTTCCATAATTAAAAAAATTGTATATAAATGCCACTGTTGGAATAGAAATTACAATTAAGGAAGTGTTCGAGATATATATTAAATTTTATATTATAGAAGAATGCGAATAGCCTAACTTCCGATACTCCGTAACAATAATAAACATTCTTTAATGTATTATTAAATTTATCAAACATTTATCGAGATGTATAGAAAATAGATAGCATCATATAGAATTAATAATTTTAACAAGTAAATATTAAAATTAATTACATAGTGTAGATTCAACATTATATATATATATATATATATATATATATATATACGTAATTATGCAAAATTATCTGTTCGCTCGTATTAAATAGTCATTAAAGTATTAAAATATTCTCTCATTTTCTTCTTAATATTTATAAATGATGCTCCAGCTTTATTAATTCAAAGAAGTTAAAATAATTGACGTCGAATGATAATTAACAATCTATAACAATAAAATGCTTCGTTCGAACGAATAAGAAAAGAATTTTAAAGAGTAATTTGTGCCAACGAATGGCCTGGCACTAGAAGCATAAAAGTAGCAAAAATTTGCTTGCTCGTGAGTATTGCGTGGTATATTAATTTCTTGAAATTACTAGGCGTACCACAAAGGTACACAGTATGTTAACAAAATTAATTCTGCGGGTGATTTAGCACAATTATTTTAAGTTAATTATAACGGTAAGGTAATTCATTATAGGAAGAGACGGGCGATAAGAGACATCGCTGTCAGTCTTTCGAGCAAACGGCTGTGCAGCGGGTGCGAGTCGCCGAGTTCCGATTATCTCTTTCAATGCTACCGCCCCATCTTCGAGTATTCCATTGCTAAATTACTAATTTAATTAGAAAGGGGTGTTACCGCTGCCGCTTCTGTTATAGACTGGACACGTGAATTCTTAATTATGCATCAAGTGGCGGGAGATAGAGAGCCCTTAGAGGGTAGCGCACGAAGAGAATTCATTATCATCAATTTTATTACTCCTCGTCTTTTATGTCGTTTGCTTTGCTTGGACGAGACATCGTCTAAATACGGACAATAACTGGCTACGAGAATTCTTTGTCGATTGTTTCGAAGACTCAAGCTCATTTCACTTTGTTTGTTGAGCTTTTTTTATGAGAAACGAATGGCTCGCGGATTTTCTTTGAATTCATCAGAAAATCCTTGATCATAGTAAAGATTAAGGTTCGTCATTGAGAATACTGTTGCTCGACAATTTCTTATATACACGTGCACACTTTATTAGAAAAAAAAAAAAAAACTCAATTCTCCTACCTGTTATATTTAAATAAGAAATCATAATAAGCAAGGGTTATTCAATCGAAGATAAATAGATAAATACACGCGCACACACACACACACACACACACACACACACACATTTATATATATATATATATATAAATATATATTATATATATTATATATATATATTATATATATTATATATATATATATTTATATATATATATATATATATATTAAATGTTTATGTTTATGATAGAAAAAAAAAATTGTGCAACTTCTTTTTCGATTTATTTAGAAATTTATTAATCTTAATTTTTGCAAAAAAATTGAATTATGAACTTTGTGCTTTTCTGTCGAAAGAACTATTTCTCATTCGAATAAATATTGATTTTTCGTATGATTAACATTAGTAGTTAAATAGTAAACGAATATATTGATTGTATTATAAGAATGAAAAAGGATGAAATTATAATGAAATATTATTATTATAAATTATCGTTATAAAGTGTTATACTCTAGAAGATTCGTTTGGTAATTACATTCTAAACTCATATTATACAAAGTTTAAACACAACAGTCCGAGATTCGTTTAAACATATCTAAGATTTAATTATTTTTAATGTTAAAATCAAAATAAATCGGATATTTGTTAGTTAAAAAAATTTGAGGATATAATCATTTGGATTATTGTAATATAAATATACGTATCAATGCAGTTTATATGATTTCAACAGAAATTAGCTTCCATATGCAATTGATTGATAATCAAATGTTTATTTACTTATAAATTAATTTAAACATAAATTAGAAAATACTAGTGACACAGACATTTATCATTATATGTTACATTAGAATGCTAAGGTGCTCTATCCACATACAGCGGTCAGACTCTTACACTAAACAAAAAATATAAAAACTGAATATATATTTAATTCTGAAAATTCATGCTCTAATTATGAACTATTAATTTCTCGTCATTAAGTGGAAGTTGAGAAAAGAGTCGATTCACGAATACAGGCTACACTTTAGTCTGAAAGTAAAGCGGCTCGTAAAAGAAAACGTAATTTGCAAGGTTCAAAAGCTGCCAAAGCAATAGAAAATTTCTCGGTATTCATCCCGCGTGCATAAAGAAAAATTCATTAACATGCTAATCCGAGTGTCGCAGTACTGCTGCCGGTATTTCTTGGCTTAAATGTATTTCTAATGAGGAAAAAAGATTTTTTATTCAACTTTGTAGCGCATATAGAAATAAGAATCACTACAATAATACATTATTTAGAAAATATTATTTATTTGCTTAATTACGTGACTGCTGACGATACATTTGTTAACAAAATGCAAAAAAGAAAAATGCTCAATGTATCCCGTTCGATTGCTTAACCACAAATAAGATGTGAATTTTCGAGCATTGACATTCGACATAAATCACGATTAATACACTTTAATTTTAATTTATGTGAAATATTATTGCCCGGATATTGCATCGATCGAACAATGAACGCTTTAACAAAAATTAACCATCGCTCTGCCGGTCTTTATTGCAAGTTGTCATCGTGTCGTTATTGCAGCGCAAAATGTAACAATGTAACGCTCATATTACATTACATACGTAACAGTATAAATTCTTGATATCCTTGTTTTTTTCTTTTTTTTTCTCCCCCCTTATCAAACCATATGATTTCAGTGGTGACTCCAATCTATATTTTTCTTTACACTTCCAACGCATATTATATTAGAACGTTGCAGATTTATTTTATAAATAAGAGAATAAAATACAGTCGATTTGTAATATATTTCAAAGGACCGAACTAAATAATACTAATTTTTTAAAATACTGCATCTATTTTACATTAAATATAAGGATAATACATGCCATACGATGGATCAATTCAGACATTGACATTGTTAATCGAATATTCAAATGATAATGCTTTATCAACTAAAGTTGATGCTGCAAATTACGTGTTGCCCCACTGATAATGTTAAGTACGTAAAATGTACATTTTTTTTTTACTCGAATTGATTTACAACGATGTTTTCGATACTATTTTTTAATCATCATACTCTTTTATACTTATGTCCATGCGCATATGTTGTTAAATTTATTATTCACATACGTTAAAAAAAAAAAAAAAAAAAAAAAAAAAAAAAAAAAATCAAAGAATAATTATTACACAATGTAGATTGTATCAACAGTTGTCCAACAGTGTTGAATAAAATAATTTCGATCGCTTCAAATCTACTCTCCTACTTGCGTTAATACACGGACGTAAAAATATTAGTGGATAATTTATTTTAATTAAATCGAGCGTTTATTTATGCCAATTAACAATTGGATAACTCGTTCGTTCTTCTGCTGTCATAAGTCTAAAAAAATTAATGTTTTCATAATTTTACAATAAAGTATAAATGTTTGGAGTATTGGTATTTGTACAAAATGATCGACCGCGATAAAATTTATAATATAAAATTAGAATCGTTGATTTAAAAAAACTTTGATGATTGAACAAGTATCGTGTTTAGTAAAAGCATATTTAGCAAAATTAGATAATATTATAATGTCGGATATTTAAAATATAAATTAATAACATTTTTTTAATCATAAGCTAATCTCTGTATATCCCTTCTAGTTCATACGAAATTGCAATGATTGACTGCTTAAGCTGAAATAAACTACTGAATAAAATACTATGCAATAAAAGAGAAGGATTTTTATACTTATTTTCTAATTTATCAAAAGATAAACGCTTCGAAATGCTATAAACGTACAACGTTTAAATTGTATAATCATAAATTTGCAGTCAAATAAGGAAGTTAATAAAAATTGTTAAAATATATCACGAAGCAAGCAAAGCGATAAAATAATTTATTAGGCGTATCTTTATAAAGTTATCAAATATACATTTAACTGTTCGAACCTTTTTCTAAGTACTCAAATATATTTGAGCTTTTTTTTTTTTTTTTTTTCGTTTATTATTATTCTTTGTTGTGAAAATTTTTTATTTTATTTTTATAAATTTAATAACGCGCGATATCCACGGTTTTCCAATAATTATCCAGTCAGCTATTTTGTTGAATATACAAAAATATCTCTTTATCATCTTCGGAATTTACGACGCTAATCGAGAATCCAAAGAATACACTCGATTTATTTCCAAAATCTGTATAAACTAAATGGGATATAAAAATAACCCATTGACAATGTCGAAGAGGTCATATTCTTTTATCGATGTTATTATAAATCAAAGCGCACTGTTCCCTATATACAATGTATGGCAATCCATGGCATATGCGCGTATTCTTATGAAAAATTAATACTTCTAAAGATAATAGTAATTATAGCTACTTGAGTGGGAGAGAAAAAGCTATCCTCAAAAGGCTCCTCGCTGTTGGATCGGATATCTCGAGAAAGGAAACAAACTGCCAATAGCCGGCAAAAAGAAAGCTCGCGCTTGTGTATACTTATATAGGGGTTAATAAAAGCGAGGACCAGTGCCATTTACCGTAGTAATTGTTCCTATTTACACTCGTTCGTTATTAATACTTTTATCGCTGGCTGTAAAAGCGAAGAAGAAGAAGAAGAAGAAGAAGAAGAAGAAGAAGAAGAAGAAGAAGAAGAAGAAGAAGAAGAAGAAGAAGAAGAAGAAGAAGAAGAAGAAGAAGAAGAAGAAGAAGAAGAAGAAGAAGAAGAAGAAGAAGAAGAAGAAGAAGAAGAAGAAGAAGAAGAAGAAGAAGAAGAAGAAGAAGAAGAAGAAGAAGAAGAAGAAGAAGAAGAAGAAGAAGAAGAAGAAGAAGAAGAAGAAGAAGAAGAAGAAGAAGAAGAAGAAGAAGAAGAAGAAGAAGAAGAAGAAGAAGAAGAAGAAGAAGAAGAAGAAGAAGAAGAAGAAGAAGAAGAAGAAGAAGAAGAAGAAGAAGAAGAAGAAGAAGAAGAAGAAGAAGAAGAAGAAGAAGAAGAAGAAGAAGAAAGGAAAATAAAAGAAAAATAATCTCGCTCATCCTTGAACAGTGATTTACGGTTCTATAGGCGCGATAAGAGTCAAGAGTCAACGACGTATTTCGCGCATTGATCGTCGACTAAAGTCGAGCGTGCGACTTGAGAATGAGTCAGACGACATGGATTTGGGGAAGGAAAGAGAGGACTGTCGCACTCACCTTATTGAGGTTGCCGAAGCCGAGTCGCTGTATGGCCTGGGACTTCCAGTCGGGGAGGGGCGGGTTGAATACCACCGCCGACGGCGGCGAGGAGGCCTTAAGGACACCCAGGGGCAGCGTCACCAGGACGGCATCGCACTTGTAGACGGAGCTGTTGGTCTGTGGTGAGCGGGCCGGTGCCGCGTAGACCTCGACGCCGTTGGCGCTGTAGCGGACAGCGCGCACCGAAGTATTCAGCCGGATGTCCAAGCCCTCGGAGAGGGCCACGGGTACGCACGAATAGCCGTTCCTCACTGAAACAGGCCGTGATTACATTGCCAGCGGATTTCTGAGGGCGCATTAATCATTGCAATGAATGAGATTGGCCTAATGAGACATCGCCTTGATTAATTAGTCTACTTGACGTGGCTAATTTCGGTGAGGCCTGACTTTTATACGTGTTTGTTTGATAGTTTTATAAAATACTTCATAAGATTAGGTAATTCGAAGATCTCAGAGCTGATATTAACTTTATGTTGTTATGATAGATGGGCACAGCCCCATGATCGCGTATTATTGATGATGGGGACTCTATCGTCAAATTCATCAAATAAATTGTACGAGAGCGAAAGCGATAGTCGAGAATGTACGAAGATTTTTCCTTCGATTCTAAATAAATAGTTTCGTGATCGCTCGTGTCCTAGGAATTTCGAATAAAGCCAGCAACTCTATTAAACTTTTCAGATTATAGGAAAATCATGGTAAACGTCAAAGCAGTCGAAGTATCGAGATTGTTGTAAATATTGAATTTAAAAGGATAATGGTGCATGCGATTAATTCAGCCGCGTTAGAAATTAATTTCGCGATATTTTGTAAGATAAATTTTTGCCATTTTTCAAGTGAATTTGATTATTATGCGGCAAATTTGGAAGCTGCTTGATGTAAAACAACAATTATCCCTCCGGACTTTGTTAATCAGTCGAGAAAATTGTTGAAAATTTGAATTAAAATAAGGGAAATAGAGTATATTAAATTGCGTGCATATGAGTTAGAATATTTTTTGATCATCAGAAAAATGAATTATAAATATTTCATAAATTTAAGTATAATTTTTTTATTGCATTTTTAACTTTTTCAATGTGTCTTTACACTTATATTTACAATTATATTATAACTTTGAATTGATGATTTGGGACTAAATAACCCTTTAGGTTAATTAGTAAAGCATTATATTTCCAAATTAATTTATCCAGATAAATATAAGATTTAGTTCTTAATTTTAGATTAAAATTGTTTCCACTATTTATCATAATTGACTATAAAGTTTCAATAGCAGTAATTTGGCTTAAACGATGTAAAATGTCGTTTCGTTTTGCAAAAAGTAAATTCATAAGAACGAAATAAAACGATATTTTGAAAATATTGTACAATAGTAGTATAATGGCGAATTCTTTCTTTCCTATTTATGTTTTTGTTTTCTTATTGATGTTTTATTTTTCTATTTATTCAATTAAAATCAGCAATAGACTTGTAAATTTTAAAAAAATAATTTTCCATCTAGCAAATCAGACAAATATCATATGATTGTAATTCTTACGGACATTTGAATAATTATTTTTACGATTATTTTTCTTTTTCTTTTAATGTTAATTCAATTTCACTGCACAATGAAAGACAAACTTAATACTAAAGTGCATTTCGGAACAATTCATTGAATTTTAAACAATTCAGCAATAGACGCTGAAAGACGAGATTTTTTTCATTTCGAACAAGTAATATTATTTATCCGTGAGAAGATATAAAATCGTCAAATAGAATTATAAGAATAGAATGAGAAGCAAATTTACTATTCATTCGAGCCCTGCTCTATTAAATAAACAAAATAATAAAGAATTCGTTGAATTTTTTAAGATTCGAAAATGACTTCACTCATAAGATTTAAGAGGGGCAACGAAGAGAAGACGTTTATGCGCGCGCGTGCACTACATATATTCTCTCTCTCTCTCTCTCTCTCTCTCTCTCTATATATATATATATATATATATGTATGTATGTATGTATATAGAAGTAGTCACTGGGGAGGCTTCCAATGGGAGGGAATTTGTTTCTCTTTAATTTATGTGCGTTTATCGGATGCGGAAATCTCAGGCGAGCAAAGGCGCTTGAGTTCGCGTGTCGCGAATTTATAAGGTTCGTTAGGCGAACACTATCGAGATGTGCCTCATTCTTATCCCAGACAATGTGCACGTGGTGGATCGGATAGGGAGGTGTTTCTTTGCGACTTCCGGTCCTGTTTTATTGTAAATTGTTTTCAATCGCATCTTCGTTAGTTCGGTTGCCGATGTGTATCAGAACACTAAAACGTTAGCTGCGAAGCCGAGAAATTGGCCCTAATTTAATTTGAAATTATTTTTTTATTGGCATAGGATCGAACGCCGGTAATATAAATAGCTGGGTAAAATTTTTCTTTTTTTCTTTTTTTTCTTTTTTTTTTTAAATTATCCATGTGCATAGAAAATCGAGGTACACTAGCTGTGAAATAATGCTCGAGAGAAATATATCGGAAGTGAGATAGTGGAGATACGTGAAGGCTTCCAACAGACCAAATGCCCACGAATCGTTTAATATCCTGTACATGCACGGGTATTTACTGTATATCTTTAATACGAAGCTGCAAAATGAAGATTAGCCGAAGCAGATTATCAGTGGCATTAAGACAGCATTAAAAGCTGTACGATTATATTGACATCGCAGATCCGGTTTCTGGACAGATGAGATTTTATACTTTTAGCTTTAGTTCAATTATAACGTTCAAAAATCACGTTGAGCATTAATAAACTCTATGCATTATTTAAATAAATCTATTACGATCTAATGAAGCTATTGTTTAAAAAATTTATAATACAATCGTGCCAATGTACGCAATTAATTACATAATTTCTATATATATATATATATATATATATATATATATATATATATATATTTTTAAGTAATTAACTTCAAAGGACTCGTAAATAATATATTTTTTATAGACTTGCAAATTTTGCTCATAATTTTCGTAGATAATTGCTGTAATGTAGATTTACGTAGATTGGCATATTTGTACTTTTATTTAATCCCCCCCCCCCAACATCACGCGTAACTATCAGATAAATAAAACATTTAATATTTCGTTCCTTCAAAATCTAGAAATACTTTTTGTTAAGAAATTTTACTATAAAATCTACATACTTACATGGATCGACTAATAATGATAATATTTATCAGTAATATCGACTTTCTCGTGAAAAATCTGCAATCTTGGAATATTTACATGTTATATTCTTATTTTCTTGCGTAAAAATTATTAAATAATAGTTAATAATTTAAATAAGTGTTGACGATAAGTCCATTGTAATTTCATTGAAACAAAATTTTAAAACATTTTGTTTACAACAAATATTGCAGATATTATTTGTTTATTATTTGCTTATATTTAAATATAAGAAAATAATTGATTGAGAAAGCAACTTTCCAATCTATATATGGATAAACTGAAATTTAATCTACGAAATCAATTAGGTTTTACATAAGTAAGAAAAGGGCAAACAACACAATGTGACAGCATTGAAGGATATAAGTATTGTCTATTAAAGATAATTGAAAATAATCAAGATGATTATCATACTTGGATCGTCTTTCCTAAACTGACTGAAAAACATTCTTTCCTACAAATTTAACGATCTTAGTATAGTAACGTCCCGTAATAATACTCAATAATCACAGAATAGTCTATTTAAACTAAAAATACATTAGAAAATAATTTGTATTATTCTCGCGAGAGAATAACGTGAAAAGTAAGCTCTGTAATTTAAGCTGAGGCGGAATCCGAGTAAGTCGCAAGCGCAATCTCAACAAGTGTATGCAAGCTAAAAATATTAAATACCACGTTTACGATAATTTCCTACTTACGTGTCTCATAATAATCATCCAGAAGCCGTGTATATCGATACGCTCAACGAGATAAGTTTATGAGCGTTGAATCGCGCTGGGCATTTGATCAACAATTTATACGATCGGAAAGTAAAAGTACCGAGCCACTATACACATCGCAGCCTATAAAAGTGATTGAATAACCGTAAAATTTATCGCCAGTTCGTATTTCGCATCGGTCCGGCGGCGCAGTTCAATTTCGCGGAAAATCTCGGCGCACTCGATAGGAGTCGGACTGGCTCGCCTGCTTGCGAAAATACGCGTAAAACTCCCATGTACAGACACACGATAAGGAACTTCCTTGGCGAGCGAGGAAAAAAGGGGGAGATGGGGAAAGCCGAGGAAAAAGAACGAGGTACAAAGTCAGCAAATGCCACGAGCAGCCATCGAAGAGCTCGTTTTACGTCCTCGTGCGTATAATTCGTTGGACTCCGGTCAGAGATTATAAAACGCGAGCGGTACGTAAAAATTAGCGGGCTTATAAAAATTGTAATAAAGGCGTTAAAAAAGTGGGGTGCAGCGTGGAGAAAGACGGATAATTTACAAGGCCGTGCAAACGTGTTTTCAGCGCCTAGAATATAACCAATGTCGTAAATAACGTATGTTCGTCCGTCGTAGAGTGAGGGAATGAGAAACAGAGAGAAGGAGAATAGAAGCGAGAAGTTCCTGAAACATCTCACGTCGTATATGCTCGACTTTACGACCAAATCCATTAAATTTTATCTTTCGTATTTAAATTACGAGGGCCTGCGAGTTCATATACTCGCGTATACGCGAACCCGTGACCACGCGTATCTTACGTGAACGTGTGTACATTTGTACCTGAACGATTGGTCATTCGGACTTGCAGAAATGCGAAATTCATCCTCTACTTTGTGTACTCCCATTCCCGGAAAATCACTCGTTCATGTTCTTTATTGCATTAGCATGATTAGGTATAAGTGTGCTACAATGTCCCCCCGCGTTTATCCAACAACTGAAAATTCTAATTATATTCCTGTAAAATCTCTCTGGCAAGAATTTACAAACAATTGTCATCAGTGCTAACAAATTATGCCCCAAACATATGATTGATTAATTACAGAGAAATAACATTATAGGAATTTAAAACGGTAGCCAATAAAAAAAAAAAAAAAAAAAAAAAAAAAAATTGTAAAGGAGTATTTTAAAAAGTTGTGCTAATGACGTTTCATAATTATGCTTTGAAAATAAGAAAAAGAGAGTGAAGAAAAAAGAAAGAAAAAATTGATATTATAGAGCGAAATACAAGAGAAGAGCGTAAAATAATGTGTAATAATCCATTTGAACATTCAAACGCCAATGCCAAAATATTGTTACT